TTTGTAACCAAATTCATTCGCAAATTATGAGTGCCATTGCTCTAAACTTTGCTTCTGCACTACTTCGAGACACCACAACCTATTTTTTATTTCTCCAAGTATTTAGATTTCCCCACATAAATGAACAATAACCAATTGTAGACCTTCTATCCGTTAATTCGCCTGCCCAGCTTGAACCCGAAAAAATTCTTATTGTTTTATCATCACTCTTTCTGAAAATTAATTATTGTCATGGTGTCATTTTCAAGTATCTTAGAATTCTATTCACATCCTCTAAATGTTTTTCCCTCGGGTCATTCGTATATTGGCTCACTATGCTGACAGGAAACACAATATCAGGTCCAGTAAATGATAATTAAATTAGTTTACTTACTAACCTTTGATACTGATCTTTGTTCACGGGCTTCCCAATTCTTTTCTCCTTAGTTTAAGATTTGCTTCCATGGGAGTTTTTTCCGGTTTGCACCCCTTCATTCCAGTTTCTGATAGTAGATCAAGGATATATTTCCTTTGATTGAACACTATTTCTTCTTTCGACCTTGCGATCTCCATGCCTAAGAAATACCGTAAGGTACTCAAGTCTTTGGTTTCAAATTCTTTTGCTAGTAGTTTTTCAGCATTTCTATCTCCATAGAATCATCACCTATTAGAATAATATCATCCACATAGACAATCAAAATTGCCTTTTTGTTGTTCGAATATGTTTTGACAAATAACGTGATCCGATTGACATTGCTTGTAACCATCCTGAATAATCACTTTTGTAAATCTATCGAACCATTCTCTTAGAGATTGCTTAAGTTCATACAAGGACTTAAATAATTTACATGTTTTTCCTGTATTACTCTTTGCACCCGGTAGAATTCACATATATACTTCCTCCTCCAAGTTTCCATTTAGAAAAGCATTTTTGATGTCCAACTGATAAAGTACCCAATTTTTATTGACCGCCAATGATAGTAACACTCTCACAGTGTTTAGTTTTGCCACCAGAGCAAACGTTTCTTGATAATCAACTCTAAAAAATTGAGTAAATCCTTTCGCCACTAATCTCACCTTGTATCCTTCAATGCTACCATCAACTTTATATTTCACCGTGAATGCCCATTTGCAGCCGACTGGTTTCTTGTCTTTTGGAAGATCAGCTACAATCCAAGTATTGTTGTTTTCCAGTGCCTTCAATTCCTCTTTCACTGTTTTTTTCCACTTTGGTTCTTTCAATGTTTCTTCCACTTTATCTGGAACATTAATGCTGTCTACAGTGGTTGTAAAGTTCTTAAAACAATGTATTAGCTTTCCATATGCAACAAACCTATCAATAGGATAACTTGTGCATTTTCTTACTCCTTTCCTTTGAGCAATTGACAAGTCATTATCATCAATTAAAACATATAATTCAGTGGAAGAACTTTGATTACCTTCGTTATTCTCCAAAGGATTTCTTGTTCCGATTCATGAAAGTGTCCATGCTATGTGGGAGGCTCGAGATTAGGTTCAGGAAATGATTTGGAAATTGGTCTTTGTCGTCTCTTGTAAATTAGTAACTCAAATTGAGGTATTTGAGGTGAAGTGATGTGTTGATCTTGTAGAGGTAAGTGTGTTTTGGTGGGTTGGTTTTCAAGGATGCATTTTATGAATTCGAAAATGTTGTTTGGTTCGACTGGAGTGGGCTGATCGGATGGTTTGATTGTTTCGGTAGAGCTGGTTGGTCAAATGGAGTTGGCTGCAAATCAAGTGACAATTGTCGTGAGTTAACATACTGATATTCATTATATGATTTCCCCTGAATAACAGTCTTAAGAACAAAAGGTGTTTTTTCAAAGAAAATAACGTCCATGGCAACAAAGAACTTTTTAGTACGAGGACAATAACACCTAAAACCCTTTTGACTCAACGAATAACCCATAAATATACACAAAAATGCTTGAGGATCTAATTTGGGCCTGGAAGGAACATTGTTATGAACAAACACAGTACATCCAAAAACCCTAAGGGGTAATAATGAGGTCGTCGATTTAAAAGTGGGAAAGAATTGAAGAAACACATCTCGTGGACACTTCAATTGTAACGATTTACTAGGGATACAATTAATCAAATAAGTGGTAGTTAAAAGGGATTCCTTCAAAAATAGCGAGGAACATTTATGGAAATAAGAAGAGACTGAGTGACCTCAAGAAGATGCTTGTTTTTTGGCTCAACAATCCCATTTTGTTGAGGAGAGTTGACACACGAAGTAAGATGAATAATCTCGTTTTCCTAAAAGAAAGGACCTAAAACATTGGCAAAATACCCACTACCATTGTTAGAATGAAACATTTGGATAAAACATTGAAATTGGATTTAACCATCTCATGGAACCGTTTAAATATTTCACAAGCTTCAGATTTATTTTTCATGATAATGGTCCAAGTAGTACGAGTGTGGTCATCAATAAATGAAGTAAACCACTGAAACCCATGTAAAGATGCGACCCGAGATGGTCACCAAATATCACCATGTATGTAAACGATTTGGATGATTTATATGGAGATGATAGATTAACACTTTTAGTTTGTTTAGCAAGTGGACATATAACATAAGAAAAAGATTTAGGGCTTTTATTGATAAACAAATATGGGAACAACTTTGCAAGATAAAAGAAACTGTGATGTCCTAAACAAAAGTGTAATAACATAACATCGGTTGAAGGTTCAAGTAAAGGAAATTGCTGTATAACATTGAAGGAAGTAGATAGTTGGGAAAAGAAGGTTGTCGGAATCAAATACCCCCCACAACGTCTAGCACTACCAATCATCTTCTCCGAGCTCGAATCCTCAAATTCACAAAAATCAGAGTTAAATTGCATGGTACAACATAAATCGATAGGTAACTTGCGAATGAAGATGAGATTGCATTAGAGATTAGGAACATAAAGAACTCATGACAAATGGATGTTCGGATGTATTTGAATAGACCCATGATTGGCAACACCAGAAAGAGAGCCATCCGCGGTTCAAATATGGGAGATAGACGAGTTAGCATGAAAAGTGTGAAAGAGCCGAAGATCACCTGTCATATGGTTACTGATACTAGAATCCACAATCCAATTAGGAGTGGCAGATTTGTTAGCCAAAGTAGCAAAAGAAATTTTACCTTAAGGAGAGGAAGTGGCAAGTGTGAATTGGGAAGGAGTATTCAATTAACTAAAAAGCTACTGCAATTCTTCCATTTGTTTTTTAGCCCTGCAAGTATTCACAACGCAATGTCCTTAGTATCACGTTGTTGATGTTGTATTGAAGACTTTCCATCAGTAGGCTTGCCATGTAACTTCCAACAAGAATCCCTCACATGGCCAACCTTCTTACAATATTCACACTAAGGCCTCCCCGTTTTTGGTCGAGCAGTAGGTTGAGAGTGAGTGAGCAATGCACATCCTTCAGCGTGTTGCGAGTTGGGAAGCATAATCGTGTGTCAACTTTCTTCGCGTCGTACTTCAGAGAGAACTTCCCAGATTGAAGGAAGTGGTTTGAGTCCCAACACACGTCCACAAACTTCATCAAGATCTCGATGCAAGCCAGACAGAAACTGGAATATCCGACGCTGTTCAACAATCTTCTTGAATAAATGGCCATCTTCGACACACCGCCGTTCATGGGATTCGAACAAATCAAGTCGTTTCCATAAGCGCGACATGAAGGTAAAATATTGAGTAATGGTCAGGTTGTCTTGTTTGAGGTTGGCAAGTTGACATTCAATTCCAAAGAGAGTAGTTGAATTTTCCAGATTCAAGTATGTTGCCTTGGCAGCACTCTAAATTTCACAGTTGTTTCATACAACAGGAAGTTTTCCCCCACTTCAGGAAGCATGGAATTGATGAGCCATGACATAATCATGGTATTTTCACTAAGCCAAGTCGAATATTTAGGATCTGTAGTAGTAGGAACCGGTGTGGTTTCCAAAATATATTTTTGCTTACGCCGACTGGTTATATAGAATCAGACAAATTGGGACCAATGTATATAATTGTCACCATTCAATCGGTAACATATGATAGAGGCGGAAGAAACATCGGAGAGATTTGAATTGGACGAATGAAGAGGGATTTCTGAGGTGACATCTGACGTAGAAGTGGCGGAAGTCATGATTGGCAGCTAGGGTTATGTTAAAAAAATTTGATCAGCTAGGGTAAAGATGAACCGCTCACCTAACTAATATCATTTTGGTAAAGGGTAATTGACAGAGTTGAAAAGAGAAACATCTCAACTGTATTTGATTAGAGAAAAGTGCATCTTTATACACAAAGTTAGGATTAAGTCTTCTATTATAAGTAAACTACCTAGTAGTTATCCTTGTATAACTTTCAAAGAGTTGGTGTTATATTAGACTACTAACTAGTATACAAGATGGTTTATCGCATAACCTACATTGATTAATATATATATGTAGAAGATAGATAGATATAGATACAGATATAGATTGTATACGCTTAAAGTGCTTCCTCACTTGAGAGGAGTGATGTTGCATCGGTATTGTTATCCCTCATTTTGGCGTTTTATATTAGCTTTCGTAAAGAGAAGGTTATATATGACCACACTTACATGTCTGGTATGAACCTAAGTAGTGTGTTTATCATGTGGGAACAGGATCTCCTGGAGGACCCTGCTATTATGAGTGCCATTGATGAGGAAACCGAGTTCAATGCCTTAGTGGTATGACACCTTAATAATTACCTTGTTCTCACTCTTGTTGCTGAAATGACTTAAAATAATTGGTTCGTCTGCCATTTTATTTTTATATTTTGGGCAGGAAGAGGAAGCTGCTCTTCTTGAATCATTGTTGGGTGAAAGATGACCAGCTTACTCTCATCAACTTACTGCCCCAATCCTTAATACTTCCTCTCCACTTCTTTCCAATAAAAATATAAGTAAAGAAGGCTGTAGGTAATTAATTTTGCTCTAAATTCAGATATTGTAAATGGTTTATTGAAGACGATATATGGAAGAGTACAGTTTGATGAAGGGTTATATTAACTGAGGGAGGTGATCGTAAGAATTAAAGTTAGCAACTGAAATGGTGTTAAAAGAAATTTGAAGAGGATCCCCGTTCAACTCTTCAAGCACTATTAGTACATTCCCAGACGGTTTGAGGAATGAGCGGGGCACATGGTACCTACAATTTTAACCAAACAAACCATTTATCACTAGAAAATTTTAAACTAAACAAATCATTAAGCGGTAAAAAGAAATGTTGGATTCAATCAACTACGCTTGTAGAGCATGCGCGCTTTGTAAATTAAGAAAATTTTGAGCAGAGATTATTTTGTAATCATCTTAAATTATTGAAGAGACTATTTTATAATCATCTTAAACTATTGAAAAAGATTCTAACATTGAGGGTATGTCGATTACTTACAAAATCTGCAAGGGATTTCCTTGAGGGGTATGGAATGAAACCCAATAGCGACCAATACTCTGTTCATTCACCCAAACTTGTCCTTTTTGCATTGAACTCATGTTCAAGGCAACTGGATCATCACCGACGGTTGCATCAAACGTGGTCTGATAAAGATACATAATGAGCATTATCTAATATATTTATGTACTAACCAGAAAACCATGTAAATTAGGCTTGAAGCTCACCTTGTACCAAGTGAGTAACGTATCTGTAGAATCATCAATCTCACTCCATTCCACTTTTTCCAAATTTTCTTCTTTATATATTTCTAACTTTTCCCCTTTCAAACCAATCTACAAAATAAATAAATAAAAAGTAATGCTATGGTTAAGATTAATAGAATAAACAATGAAAAATGTTAAAACACCCTTGAAATAAATAATGTAAATACCTGATATCCCCATGTATAATTGGTAAAGTTGTATGGGTTTGATCCTGAACATTGAATATTCACTTTATTCAACCCAGTATATTTGCTCTCCAGATAAGCCCCCGAGTCCTTCAAATAGAATAAACAGCTGCCATTATTAGTTCATGTAATTATTTGCTTATGTATATATTTTATTATATGGCCAAGATTACCTGCAATCCAACCAGAACACTCAGTATTGATACATTGTTCATACCCTCATTTAAGCTAATTGGAACGTCCATGCTAAATCCTTTGGTATCATGGCTGCCATGTCCAGAATCTGAGCCAAAAGTAGAGATCATCACCAGTTAATGAATTTTAATTTTTTATTTAAAAAAAGAAAAAGAAAAAAGAGTTTATTGGAATTAGAAATTTGCACCTACAAATTTGCTGTTGATGTAGGAATGTGCAGCATGTCCAAGGGACTCAATGTGAAGCACTGGTTGGGAGCAAGATGAATTGGGTTGAAAGCTGAATGTGTACCAAAGGTAATCAGATACGTCCTTTGTTGTAGTCATTTGTTCCAACAATGAATTGGATTGAAGTGATGTATCTAAAAAGTTGGGGATGTCTTCTTTCCACTCTTCCCAGCTACTCACTTCATCAAACACTTTGATTACTGTTGCAATTCTCTTATTCGGCATCGTCCTCACCTCTGCAGTGTTGAACACCATGTTTTGGCAGTCTGGTAGAATGCCGATCGACTTTGGCAACAACTCAAACGACCTGTCCCAGAATTGAACCGTAACGTTTTTGTGGAGTCTTCGTTTACAAGAAAAGCAGCACATTCTCCCCTCCCTTCCTCAAAAACATAAGCCTAATCCAAAGCAAAACATCACTAATCAATTAATGAATTCTATAGTTTTGAATTGTAGTTGTGATAACAGATGGTCATTTAAATCCCTGAGTACAGAGAGTTAAAAGGCATTCCTCACCTGCTGAAGTGGACCAATGGAGAAATTGGTCAGCACTCCTTGCAACAAAGGTGTGGAACAATTCTTTACCACACCATGCAGCTCCTTAAGATGCCCATTTTGGCTGTCTCAGCAAACCTGCAACTTAAACGTCAATTCCACTTCTTAATGACAACCAATGACAGATAGAAAAGGTTATCCATTTCACCGTATTCATCGAGAGGAGCTTGATCATAGTAACTTGTAATCACATACGCTGATGACGTCCTTCCGAAATTCGTTCCAACATGGTACTATATTATACATAAATCATTGATTAGGGTTGATTCAAATGCATGCATCATTAAAATATACCAGGCTTACCATGTAGTAGTTGATGTAACTTCCATTCTTGGCTATGAAAAGTGCTACATGAAACGCAATATCTTCTGCAGATCTTACGTATGGCTCTCCGCCGTATACTTGATATTGAGAAGTCCAGTCTTCTGTCCACATGGAAGACTTGTTGGGTGAGTTGGGGCCTCCGAAAGTTTCCCCACATCTCATGCCATTGCATGTATTAATCTGCAAATGCATTAATGTTATTTACAGAAACAGATGTAAGATTTTACGTTAGAGTAGCGAGTTTATAAAATTTTAGGAAGATAATCGAACCATGGGATCGGGAGTGTCGTAACCGTTTTTCGGCATAACAATCGTTTAATTGTTTTAAAAACATTTACGACTTTAATTTTGGAAAATGAGTGATTTTGGATTAATTAGAATTAAATTAAAAAGGAGTCGCCATCAACCTTTGGGTTAAGTAGGTCGAATACTTAAAAACGTCTTTTAAAAACAATTTTAAGAAAAATCGTTTTAAGACAAAAAGCTGATATGCGTTTACAAAGATTCGATTAAAACGGGTTCGGGAGTCGGTTACGCGTGGGGAAGGATTAGCACCCCCACAACGCCCAAAATTGGTACTGTGTAGCTTACGTATCGTCGTAAATAGTGGAATTTATGAGTTGAATATAAAGTTAAAATATGATCTATTTATTAAATATTCATTAATTGGCTTCGAATTAATAACTTAAAGAAAATAAATAAAATAAAATAAGTAGTTAAACTTATAAGAACCAAAAAAATTAGAACAAAAACTTAAAGGGTTAATAAACCAAAAATCAAAAATTACAAACATTAAATAACACAGGTACTAAAATGAAAATAATCCAAAAATGAAATTTAGAACTAAAGTGCAACAAATCAAAAACTTGAAGGCTAAATCATAATTAAACCAAATTAAAACAAGGACTAAAATGATATATTTACAAAACTTCACTATTTTAAATACAAACAAAATATTAATTGAAATGGACATATGAATATTACACCAAAATAAATATTGAAACTAAAGCAAATCAACATCATAAAGGACTAAAATTAGAATAAACCCTAAACAGAACTAAAAAGAAACATGCAACAATTCAGAGGTTAAATGTCTAAAATTAAATAAATTAATAATTAGGACTAAAATTAAATACACAAAATAAAAATACCAAATTGTAAACCCACAAAAATTGATTTGATGACCTAAATGAAATATACAGAAAATTACGATGACACGTACCACAAATAACTCCAAAAAATAATAACTAAAATCTAAATTTGTAAAATAACTAAGTAAAACAAACACAAATGGATAAATTCGAAATTAGCCCTTACCAGTAACTAAAATGTAAATAGGCGCTAAACATTAGATGACAGAACTACAGTTTTGCCCTAAATACTCGGTGGCTAAAGAACTAATTTTCCCAAATACTTTAATATAAAACCTAACCTAAAAATAAACTTAATCTATTTGTAAACTAAAACTAAACCCTTCAACCGCTCTTCACTTCCCTCCCCACTCTCTTCTTTCACTCCCTCGGTCAAAACCCATAACCAAGAAAAAAAAAACAGCTCTGCTTCTCCTCTCTACTTTGTTTCTTTCCAATTAACAGAAAACAGCCTCCATGGCCTAAACCAAAGCCACCGAACTGGCCACCGCATCATGGTGGTCACACTACTCTCCGATCAATCTCTAAATCTAAGGCCTAAACCTCTTGAAAACCAAACGAAATCGCTCACATCCCGACGCTTTGTCTCGCAGCCAAGGTAAGTTTTCTTTATCTCGCTCTTTGCCGTTTTGTTTCAAAAAAAATTATTTACCAAGATTAACGCCCATTTTTCATCTCTGATTACTGAACTCGAACAGATGAAAATGGAGTCAACGAGACTCCATCGAACTTGCACCACTCAGGTAAATCGACTCTAAACCCCTTTTGTTTATTTCGAAATCACTCACACATACCCACACAAGCCACATACTGGAAATGACCCTAGTCTTTAAGATAAACATACCATGTTTCACTTTAGTTTTATGTTCGAATGATTCTGATTTTAATCTTTAAAATTATTTTGATCGAAAGGCTGCCAAGAAATGATAAAACGATTCAAATATTTTTAGTTTAGTTGTCTCAAAATAACAATGGAAAAGACTTGAGTTTCAAAATGATTTTGAATCTAAAAATGTTGGTTCTTTTTATTGCTTATGGTTCTTTCAAAATTGAAGAATAAAAGATGATATGACTCTTGTATTGCTTCTGTTTTAAAATAAAATACACACACCACACGCTAGGACTCGAAAATGAATTCAAAATACTTTTAAAAATTACTATTACTTTCTGTTAATTTACAAGAAACGAAGAGAGCAAAATCCTTTGCTTACCATTTTTGTTTATTGACTATTGGGAGCCCCAAGTACATTTTTTTATCTGGTCGAAGAAAACCCCCTCCGTTGTTCCTGTTGGTTCCCCCCCTCATTCTTACATTCATTCGAGTTTTTATACATGAATTTTTACATATATTTACATATAAAAATAGCAACTTGTGGTGTGCTTGATGATTTCCTGACGTGCATCTTATCCTGTGGTTGTAGCAGTGGGCGGCAATAATTGGGCAACAAGTTGGTTAGGTGAGTAGGGTCGATTAAAGAAATAAATGTTGCTCATAGCTTTCAAAATGATCCAACCGGCGCCAACCAACATTGTAATTTTGGAGGAACCAAAGCTTTAAATATAATAAAGCTTTGAATTTTGAGACCACGAAATAAAAGGTGGGGTATAATAATGTTGAAGTGATTGAAATATGGAAGTCTGACTCAGTAGTGAAAACTACTCACTCAGTGGTCCGAAGGAGAAACAAGAGGCCAAAGATCATGTGTGTGCTAAGTCCTAACATCATTTAGTGGACCATTTTGATGACAACAAAAATAGTACACTTGGTAAGCTAATGCAACCTCTGATGCGATTGGAAAATCAAAAGTTAGTTAGGTGCATGAACTTTATTTTATGATTTTTTTGGGATAAAATATTGGTGCTTACAACTGCCCCTCTTTGCTCATTGTTGTGAAACCAGAATAGAGCAAAGATATAAAGCACCAATTTTATCATTGTCTCTTCTTGTCATGCTGCGAACTCCTCACTGGGAATGTCAATTCTTCTCATTATGAACTCATTCTCCCTCGTTGGATGAGTTTTTCTTTCAACTAGAAATCTTGAACTAAGGTTGAACAAGTTCTTCTCATTATGAACTTATTCTCCCTCATTGGACAAGTCTTTCTCATTATGAACCCTCCACTGGAAATCTTGAGTCACCTCCTTCTGCAGTGGACTTGGAAGGAACACGTTCTTCTCATTATGAACTTTCTCCTTTAGGACGAGTTCTTCTCATTATGAACCCTTCTGAAAATGTTGGTTCACCCCTTTTGTGGTGAATTTGAAAGGAACAAGTTCTTCTCATTTTGAACTTTCTCCTTTAGGACGAGTTCTTCTCATTATGAACTCTTCATTGGAAATGTCGATCCCTCAAGCGAGGCATCACTGATTCGAAATTCCGTGAATCGAGTGATAGGTCGAACAAGCTCTTCTCATTATAAACTTCTTCTTCCTCTTTCGGATAAGTTCTTCTCATTATGAACTCTCCATTGGAAATGTCAATCCCTCAAGTGAGGCGTCACTAATTCGAAATATCGTGAATCGAGTGATAGGTCAAACAATTTCTTCTCATTATGAACTTCTTCTCCCTCTATCGGATGAGTTCTTCTCATTATGAACTCTCAATTGGAAATGTCAATCCCTCAAGTGAGGTGTCACTTATTCGAAATGCCATGAATCGAGTGATAGGTCGAACAAGCTCTTCTCATTATGAACTTCTTCTCCCTCTTTCGGATGTGTTCTCATTATGAACTCTCAATTGGAAATGTCAATCCCTCAAGTGAGGTGTCACTGATTCGAAATGTCATGAATCGAGTGATAGGTCGAACAAGCTCTTCTCATTATGAACTTCTTCTCCCTCTGTTGGATGGGTTCTTCTCATTATGAACTCTGTACTGGAAATGTTGATCTGTTTATATTCTCTTTGAAAATTTTCAGACCTGCAAAAGATTATCATGTGTCAGTAATAATTGTGTTTGAAGTACCCGAAGGTATTGACCCAAAGGTTCTCGAATCTTTGTTAAGATCTATTTCTTTCAATGGTGAAAAATATGGATTAATTCTTTGCTGAAATCGTGAAACAAAATCTTTGTTGGCTCTTTGAATTCCTGTCAGAAATTTAACACAAGACAAAAATTAATAAGACACTTGTTTTAAGAGAAGATCTCTCGAGTGAGATAAATTTTATTTTGAAGGAAAATTATCTCAAGCAAGACGAAGTAAGTTTTAAGAAAAACCATCTCAAGTGAGATTCAATTTCTTGTTTCAAGGGAAAGTTGTCTCAAGCGAGACGAATTTGGTTTTAAGAAAAACCATCTCAAGGGAGACAAAATTTGTTTCAAGGGAAACT